TCTCTCCAAGGCATATGCATAGCTAATGGAAAATGTTTGTACAACCTTTGGATTTACATTTTATATTCAGGAATGTCACATATAAATCACTTTCTTGAAGTCATGATAAAGAATTCTATGATTAAAAATCCAGTTCTTTTTGGAATTGTGTATGAGATGTGACCTGCATATAATATTATCTGGAGGTTCATGGAAACACATCCAGCATTCCAACATGTAGTGTTTGAGTGTTTGTGTAGCAGAGCAGATGATCTGTGGGCAGTGGAGATGCTGGAGGTCAGAATGACAGGGTAAGAATGAACTGTTGATGTCTCCTGTGACTTTCTGCTGGGATCAAGCATTTTTCATATACTGTAGATAATGAAACCAGTCTGCAATTTCCTACTGCAAGAACAGTATTTATTTATTTATTTATTTTTGCTTCTGTCAGAATGATATTCCAATTATGGCCATGCAAATATAATTTTAAGTGTAGAGACAACATCTTGGATATGAAAAATGACAGTCTGCAATTAGATTCCAGTCCCACTTCTTTTTTCACTTATCTGAGTTGTCATAAACATTTCCATCACATCTCAAATTGTGCACTGTTTATGTGCACTGTGCCCAAGTTTATAGCATTCTGTAAAAGAAGTGATGGAAACAGCATTACAAAAATCCACAAGTACCGGTAATCGACACGACATAAAAGCTGCGAGTTTGTAATAAATTCATCATTAAAATGTTTTTAACTTCAAACCTAAAATGCTCCATCCATTTCTGGAATAAAATGTCCAACTCCTTTGACTTGCTAAGGCGAATTTCACACCTTTATAACTTGAAGGTATTAGCCCTCTACCGCATGGTGTAGCCATATGGCAACATATTCTTTGTGTTCATTTCCTTGCCACTGTCTCTTTAAGAGAACATTCTCGTTTTTTTTGTTGGAAAGAGAAGACCTATAGGTCTATCATAATGCGTGCGGTAGAGGGTTAGAACTATTGCTGTATAATGAACTTTGACTGAGCTCATTTGAATCTTTCTGAATTTGATCATCAGTTTACTATTAAACTGAGATAAACAGCATCACAAAAGTCCACAAGTAATTCACACGACTCCAGTCCATCAGTTAATGTCTTGCAAAATGAAAAGCTGTGCGGATGCGCCATAGTGTGACAAACAGCAGAGGGCGCTATTGCATCATATTTCCTGACGCCAGATCAAACCATAAAGTGCAGTGGGAAACAGCTGTAGAGAGAAAAAAAAAATCCACATTCTATTTTAATGTGGAAAAATGTATTTATGTAAGTATCACCTTTTAATCTTATCATGTTGTACTGTATACAGCACATAAGTTAGTGATGTCCTAAATGTGTTATAGCATGCTTATGCCAGTCATTCACCAGTAGATGGCAAAGTTTACTGTGCTACTATAATCAGAACTAAATTGGAGGTCAAAGAAAGGTGAACAACAGCAGCTCCTGATTACTGATATAAGAACACTGACTCACACGTTTGCACATGTGAATTTGAAGCTCATATTTAATCTAGAGTGAAGCCAAGATCAGATTATTTTATTGTCTCATGGTTTTGAGCATAAGGCATGTCATTATTTATTAATGTCACGGTTCTGATTTATAACCCTCATGTGTTCCTCCTGGAGCCACACACACACACACACACACACACACACACACACACACACACACACACACACATGATGGTGTCCTGTGGCTGTGACAGGTGGGTGAAGGCTTTAGAGTTGTCTTGCTGTCTCACACATGGTATGTTTTTGAGATTAAAATAAGACGGATATTCACAGAAACAAAATAGAGATATTAAAATATTGTTCTTTACAAAACAACAACAACAACAACACAACTTTACAAAGAAATAATAATAGAAGCTAAGATGCTGAAATAAGCATTAGCATTAGTTTCTTAGTCTCTTATGGTCCTGTTGACTTTTGTGACAACATTTTGGCTATAGTGGTCTATAATTATGTCAGAACTGAGGGACAGATTAAATTTTGTGAACATTAATATAATCAATTTCACACCATAATAATTTTTAAGCTTAATATTTATTTGTCTAGTAAACAATCCATACTTTAAATGCAAAAATTGGTAAAAGGATTCAAGTGCAGTTTAAATGCAACCTTCAAAACAAAGTTGTCTTTGCATCTTTCTGTTGAGGTTCAAAGTTAATTTACCTCAAATCTGAGGTCCAAAGGTCTCTGTAAAGGTTTTATAGTGAACTTCAGCTCTCCAAACAGACATCCAGCATGATTGATTTGTTTTCGTCACGTCACTTACGCGACTCTTGTCTAATTGGCAAAGGAAAAGCTTTCCCCAGTCATCCTCAAAGAAGAAACCAACCCCTCACCCTCTTCTCTCTCATCTCCTGTCCCCCCTTTCAACTGGAGTTTTCACTTATTAAAATCCTGCTTAATTAAATTATGTCAGAAAGACTGAAAAGTAAAATTCATTTTACAGATCACAAACAACTCCCTTGTGATGTTTTGTGAGATCACAGATTGAAATGGGGTGGGATAGTGATAGGTTTAAGTAAACTTTTTGTGTCAAGAGCAAATGTCTAAAACAGTCACACATTTTTATAATATGTAGTGTTGCAGGTTAAATATGTACATTCTTAAAATATTTTTTCTTTGCAACGTCCTTGGCAGAAAAAAAATGAAATTAAAAAAACGTATAGTGTTTAACTCAGTGATACTGTATTCAGATGCATTCAATCAAACAAACAATCTTAAAGTACAACGAGACAGATGTTTGCAACAGTAATGCCCTTTTCATGTATTTATCTCAACACAGTGACACTGGTCAACATCTCTCATTTCCACTCACAGGAACATCCTATTCTATGCAAAACTGGAGCAAATAGTTTTGTATGAGTTTAATGCTTAGTCTTTTTATTGTAAATGTAAAAATCTTTCACAGTTAAGTCTCCCTTAAGACCACCTGACAGTTAGAAGAGAGATGGAGCGAGAGAGAGAGACATCGTAATTAACTGCTTTCACGACTGGAGCCATTAGCAGTGCAGCACTGCATTAAAATTGCATCGTAATGGCTGGAGGCTGACAGGCTGCTTGAACAGTATATACATCTGAGTTCTGCTGGGGGTAGAGTGCTGATGGGACATCACAAGCTCAAGTTTTTGAACTGAAGGCGAGGAGACAGCCTGCTCTCCTTGAGACGTTTTAAGTATTTAGGTTACAGTCACAAAAGGGGATGAGACTGTATGAGTGCTGTCATAGAATCCTCTGCCTCTAGCTCTCACCCTACCACTGTCCAGTGCACTTCAATTATTATTTTGTTCGGTTGTTAAGTCTGACATCACCATTTCCAAAATTCAAAATTGTGAAAAATCATGATCCGAAACCTTTATCTTCATACTGAGGCCTGGTCCTGGAAAAACTACTTAACAATAGTTGTGCAATATAATACAATACAATACAATACTTAACAAGCATATTTTATTTATTTACACATTTATTTCAAACAAAGTAAAGATGTACGCTTAAAATACCTTTCAAATAAAATGTAAATAAAGAAAATCAATATAAATATTCATAAATTATATAAAAATTCATGGACACTCCCAGTATACCATACTATACACCACATCAATCTTAATAACTACTATTCATTTTGTATTTAATCATTTATATGTGACATATAATTGTCCATGAAGGCTGGAAGTTGAAAACTCCTTAAATTCAGGTGTGCAGAATTATTAGGTGTCACGGAATCGGGTGTGTGGAGGCAGGCAGGACGACGAGGACGACAAGGATTCCAATAATGACATTTATTGTAGACACAACAAGGCAGGTTCAGGTAGGTGAGACACACACTCGGGGTAACATTAACAATAACCGACACCAATGCTCAGACAGACAGGAACTAAAATTATTAAATCCCCATGAGAAATATTCAAAACTAATGCAATATAGAAATTGCAAAGTTAAGCCATGACCATTGGGCAGCAAAATGCTCAGAATTAAGTGTTTGCTAAGAATTAATGTGAAGAATTAGGTGTAAAACCATCAAGAACCATTTAGTCTCCAGCGCCAGCATTTTCCAGAACTGCAACCTTCCTGTAGTCTCCAGAATTACAAGGTGTCAGGTTCTCAGAGACTTTGCTTGGGTAAAAAATCCTAAAAAATTACCCTCACTTAATAAGAATAACATGCTGAGGTGTTGTGAAATACATTAAGACTAATTTTTTTTATAGGCTTTATGGACAGATAAGTTGTGAGTGACTCTTGTCTTGAAGGACCAGCACCACATCCTTTTGTACCACTTTTTTAAAGAATTTATCTTCCAGAGTCTGGCAGTAAGTTTCAGAAGCTAATTTTTAGTCAATCCTGCAAGACAGACTTTTCAGGATAGGAGATGGAATAAAAAATGAGCCCCTAAAACTTACTGCCAGACAATATGATATGACGAACTTGCAGAGTTTCTTCTATACAGGTAGGCTTATGCTAAACTAAAGTTTAAAGTATTCCTAATATGCTAGACCATTTATTAAAACTAACCCGGTTTTACGTGTTGATACATACATTCACTTTTATAAATCCATGAGCTGTGTTTGTGTTGTTTGAGTAGTGACGCACAAAGGTTTGCGAAGGTTCTTTGAAAACATGCTTTATTTTTGTAGTTCGTCTAGTTGTGCAGAAACTGAATACCCCAAAATTACTTTATAGCCTATATATATATATATATATATATATATACAAAGTATATAAGTATATAAGATATATATCACGTCTCTATCACGGATCCTACATTTTCCTGAATGGAGCGATGAAAACTGAATTAAAGCTTCTTTTAGTTCAGATAAATAATAATGAATGAGGGGATAAAAAAGGGTCTCATACTGATGAAATCGGTGAATGAAGGCAACATTAACGATGACGACCACAGGGTGGCAACACACACAACGCTGCAGTTATTCGCATGTTCACAGGAGCTTTGAAGTTGCCCGTGGATGTCATTTAGCAACATTGTGATGGGTGCACACATAGCCATAAAAGTGCAGACCCCGACACACGAAAGCCCCGACGAGAGAACCGAGGAAAGTTGTGCGGGGCGCGCAACTTATCCAGACCTCACGAAGAGATGACATCCCACCGGAGAGACGCGCACCAACTGAACTGCACGGTTTATTTTGTTGAGTGAGAAAAGTTTCATGAAGATATACAATGTTTATGAATGGGAGTTCTCTGAACAGCTCTGCACTGGACCCTAGCGAGCAAGCACTTCACCGGCCGCCCTGGGTCACTACAACTCTCGGGTGTTTCCTCATATTCACTATAGTGGTGGATATTTTAGGAAACCTGCTGGTGATTTTCTCCGTCTACAGAAACAAGAAACTTCGGAACGCAGGTGAGTTTGACACGCGTGTCACATATATTTCACATTAACTGCTAAAATGTTGCGTTAAGACAAGAGGATACACCAAACAACAACACTGACGGGCAGGAATCAGAAATGAGAGCGCGCAAGCATCTCTGATATCCGCGCACGTTTCATGTTTCCCTGGAATCGCATCGCAGGTGTTGTGTCGAAAACTGTACACCAGCGTTTCCCCTTAACGGTGATATACTTAAGAATTAGATTCAAATACAACCAAATTGCACTTTAAACTTTAAATGTGTGCGTGTTTTTAGCAAAAGTATCATTATAATGAACAGGAATACCAACTAGAAAATAAACATTGTTTAGCAAATAAAACGCTGATTTGGTTGATTTTACACTGTACATTCCAGAGTTCATGTTAAAGTGTAATTGTAAATATATAGTACCAATTAACGACATGCACTTAACATCTAATTGTTGAATAACTTGTAAACACACCTGGTTAATACTATTATGACTATAAAATGTAATATGGACAATGGACATCATGTTTTGTGGATGAATTTTGTTATTAAAGTTACATCACTCCTTCTGTTTTTAAAATGAACTTGAGAGGTGCCATTAGTAAGATAAGTCACAATTTAATAAATGGTAGAGTCTGATGTCTATTGTAACACAAATGTGGGCTACTGTACAATTGCAAAACAATAAGATATGATTTCAGTAGCTACATTTCAGATTTCACATTTTGCCCAATCTCCATCACATTTGAGTGCCTTTCAGATCATGTCTGACAAAGGTTATTATATATTTTATTTTCAAAACTATTTTCTTCTAACAGCAGTGGGCAATTTTAGCAACACTTCCGTCTTTCGGATGAGACGTTAAACCGAGGTCCTGACTCTCTGTGGTCATTAAAAATCCCATGGCACTTCTCGTAAAGAGTAGGGGTTTAACCCCGGTGTCCTGGCCAAATTGCCCCCCTGGCCCTTGTCAATCATGGCCTCCTAATAATCCCCAACCACTTGATTGGCTCTATGACTTTCTCTCCTCGCCACCTGTAGCTGGTGTGTGGTGAGCGCACTGGCGCAAAAAAAACTTGAGATGGTCAGTGAAAGGTTGCAGGTTTGAACCCCACAGAAGGCAATCCAAGGGCCATCATCATTGAACCTTCAGCAAGGGACATAACCCCAAACTGATTGCTCCAGTCTAGTGATTCTCCCTGTGTACATGCTTGTCCACATAAAAACTGATTTTTATTTATTTATATATATATATATATATATTTAACCATTCAGAATCAGTAACTGAATCCCAGATTTTGGTCTATTTAGTATTTATGATGCTTTTAATTCCATGATTTCCCATATAATAGACATTACAAATAACTGTTGAAATGATCGTAAACATATTTTTTGGTCAGTACAAACTATATATATACATTTTGTGTGTGTGTGTCCCTGGAAAATATTCAGTGCCGAACGAGTGAATTATTTTGGGGACTCCATATCTGTGTACCTGTCAGCAGCTGTGCTTTGGGTCTTCCCTCTTTTTTGCTGTTTCATCCTGTGAGATTTTCTAGGCACATATCCGAGCTTTAAACTCTGATCTGAACACAGAGAGGCTGTTTGGTTCTATAAGGGAAAATGAACACGTTCGTTGGATTTGATTGACGTGCTGTGCCGTATATATGGCAGTTTATTTTGGCATTCATCTGTCCACATCAGTATGATGTGCCATGGGATTGTTTCTTGTACTGTCAATCACAGAGTGGGAAAATAACACACGAACAGAAAACCTGTCCAAAATCTGAATATTAGCAGATAAGTAGGCCTACTGGAAAACGTGACTCAAATAGACTCGTTAGAAATACAGCGGACTCAATTTAATTAAGCTTTGACCCACATTGTGGATCTTGACATTTTTCCAAGGTGCTCATTAAATATGTGTTGGGACGTAGGAAAGTTTATGGAAAGAGCGCAACGAATATCTGCGTGCTCAAGTTTGTCCTGCTCGCGTGCAGGTGGAGGCTGTTTCTATTCCAATGTCAAGTTCAAGCGCTCCCCACTGTCAGTTCCCGTGTGCCTTTGCGCTGACCGCTCTTGTCGCATGTGCATCTCTAGTTCGCCAAGGGAACATGTGATTCATGCTTTCATTCATTTGGAAAGACAGTTTTAATCCTCTATTAAATTTTAATCCACAACAATCAAACGAATCAAATATACACGTGCTTACGCAATGCATAATATGACACTGATAAACCCTTGTGCCACAGACATTGTTTCACAGCAAATGCACACATTTGTTATTGCATTTATATTTACTTCTTGAGTTATTTGGGATAATCTGTTGCAAATCTGGAAGTTATTTATTAATAACTGTAAATAATTTACTGTTTGAGAAGCCATCCACAGATGCTGTTTTACAAGAATCCAGTGATGAACCTGGATTAGTAGTGATAACCTACATATTTTAAGAGGTCAGTAAATCAAATGCAAACTGATATGATAATTTCTTGGTATTTAAAAGCAGTATCATGTATCTGAATTTTAACTTTTTGTCAGGTGGGTAGGAAGAGTGTAATTGACTCCTTGGTAATGATAGGAAGCCCTTGAGACAGAGAGTGGAAGACCAGATAGTTGCTCATCTAAGAGAGTGTCAGAGAGATTGCAAACTTTTTCATTAGGGAAAATATAAGATCAAGTAAGAGACCATGATAAGATTAAAGAAACATCCTCACAAAAACTTGAATTATTGTTGAATGGATGCTAGAAAATGTCTAATCCATATTAGTCTTTTACGATCAACTGTTATTTAATTAGTAAGGCCAATTCATCAAACATTAATTAAAATAAAAAGTGTTTATTAAAAAAAAAAGAACCATTTACATGATAAAGATGCAGTTGGTTTATTTGGAACACCTGTATCGTATACACCCTCTTTGACTTTTCAGTTTGCAATTAAAGCAATTTAATTTAGTCAATTTATGACAAAACATGACATGAGAGTTTAGAAGAGAGATTGATGTTATTCCTTTTCAGTACCATATTGTTTGGTTGGTTGATTGATTGATTGATTGTTTGATTGATTGATTGTGAATTACCCTACATGTTTAAAGCAAATCTTACGTTTCTGAGTACTTGAGCACTTTATATATAGGAGAAATAATGTAGTTTGTCAAATAGAGCTCATGTGTCTTTAAAAAAAAAAAAAAATTAAAGACACTAAAAACGTCACAGTAGCTCCCTACTTGACTTTCTAATTTTTTTTATAGATAAATCTGACAACACATTTATAAATGGCAGTCAGTTTTCATTTAGTGTGGCTTGTCTCACTTAAAGGTGCTACTTTATGTTGGAGTCACACCTGTTTTTTGTCCTGCAGCCCAGAGGCAAACAGAGAAGGACAAAACAGGGACAACATTTTACAGTGGACTCCCCTGGCCAATCTGCACCTGCTGGACTGGCTTGACATCTGAAGAAATGCATAAAACGCGCGCACACACACACACACACACACACACACACACACACACACACACACACA